AATTTCCCTTGTCCCCCTTAGTTTGTCTCACTCACTCAGAAACAACCAACCTATATTAGGACAAGCAATTTCCCTCTAATTCCCTCAAAAATGCACTTCCATGCCTTATACCTTTCTTCACGAAAAACACACATCACTTCCTTCCATACTAATTAGAATACTTAACCCTTAAAAACCTTAACTTCTAATGATAACTATAAAGTAATTAGAATTCTTTAGATTGGGAAATTTATGAATCTATGACATAATCTGTAGAAACATAGGGGTTTTTTTACTGGCAAATACATTTCATAATTTTTTTTTAAGATTTTTTTATTGGGGAATTGGGGGAGGAGAACAGCGTTGGGGAATCGGGGAAGGGGAACAGACAAGTTGCTGTCCTTTTGTTCTTCAGTCTAGTTGTGGAGGACGTTGCTTAACTGGCCCATGTTGGTATTATGAACATTGCGCTCTTCCCGACTGAGGCAGCTCACGGAGGCTCATGGCCGTTCTTGCCGGCTGCCGGCCACTCACAGCAGCCCAGCTCCAGGTCGACCTGTTGTTCACCATCTTAGCTGTAAAGGGCTCAGTGTCACAGACCCATGTGGGAACTGAACCGACGGCCCTGCTGCTCAGAGCTCGCACTCCCAAGCCAACTCTTAACTAACTGAGTTATTGGCTGACCCATATTTCATAATTTTAAGAAACATTTGCTTCCTCAACAAAGCACGAAACATTTTCATTAACAGTTTCAAATTTATCTTTTAGTTTCTCTGTAGTAAGTTAAAAATAAATAAATGTAGACTTATTTGGCAATTAATGTTTCAGTATTTCATCTTACTTGGTAATGATTTAGATATTCAATGAATTTAACTCATCATTTAACTTAACTTGGCAAAACTCTAAGGTTTCAAGTTACCAAAACATTTTGAAAACTATTTGCTAGAAACTATTCACCTAGAAACTCTTATACCAATTATACGTAATTAAACTATTTCTTATTAACAATCATATTTATATTACTCCTGAAGATTTTATGAGACTTTAAAGCAGCTAGCTATTATTTCTTCTTGCTGGCAAATTTTATAAGAGAGATAATATGAGCTTATTTGACAAACTCAGATAGAATGAAAGCTGTATATCTGTATTATTTTTCAGCCTTGATAACTAAAGGCATGACCATTTTAATTATACCAACAACATTAAACTTTTATTTACTAAAGATTAATCCTAGATCATGTGCACTTGAAAAGAATTTTGGTTAGTTTCTGTTATTTCTCCAATTTACAGACGCACTCATTTAAGTCAATAGAACAAGACTCCTTTAGGGGCCAGCCGAATGGCTCAGTTGGTTAGAATGGGAGCTCTGAGCAACACGGTTGCCGGTTCGATTCCCACATGGGCCAGTAAGCTGTGCCCGAGCTGAGGTGCTGCTGAGCTGGTGAGAGCGCATGCTCTTAACAACAAGGTTGCTTGTTCGACTCCTGCATGGGATGGTGGGCTGCGCTCCCCCTCCACCCTCTGTAACTAAAATTGAACATGGCACTTTGAGCTGACATGGCATGGTGGGCTGCGACCCTCCCCCCTCCAACTAGATTGAAATCAGCAACTGGACTTGGAGCTGAGCTTGCACTCACCACAACTAAGACTGAAGGACAACAACTTGACTTGAAGCTGATGGGTCCTGGGAAAACACAATGTTCCCCTTCCCCAATTCCCCAACATTGTTCCCCTCTCCAATTCCCCAATAAAATCTTTAAAAAAAAAGACTCCTTTATAACCTAATTTTGAAATTACAAGTCAAATTTGGCAATACCATCCAGCAGTAGAAATATGCCATATCTATAACATATATACATATACATGCATAAACACACAAACACAGAGATCTTATAGCTGTCATTTTGAAACTCTAGCTTGTATGTCCTAGGCACAATACAAAACTAAAAAGAAAAACTGGATCCAAATTATGCATCTAGCAGATAGACAAAATTAAGGTTTGCTCAGACGGCATAGCATTTGCATGCTGTAAGAATTCCTTTAAAGCTGTTTTTAAAATGAAAGAATACATTCTATTGTCTCTGAGAGGTCTGAGATCCTCTCCTTTAAGGGGGATCTTTAAGATGAACTCATCAATAAACACAAACAACAAGAAATAAAAAGCAAGTGTGCACATTAAAGTTGGAAAGCTCAGGGACCGGCTGAGTGGCGTGTTGGTTAAGAGTTGGCTTGGGACGCTACCTTTGAGCAGCACGGCCTCGGTGCGGATCCCACAAGGGCCAGTGACGGTGTCCTCTACAGCTAAGATGGTGAACAACAGCTCGACCTGGAGCTGGGCTGCTGTGAGTTACCGGCAATGGCGTAGGCTGCAGCCCCTGCCTGCTGCAGTGGGCTGCCATGAGCTACTGTGAGTGGCTGGCAGCTGGAGTGAGCTGCCGTGAGCCGCCGTGAGCGGCCATCCGATGGCCGGCAAGCAACTGCCTCACCCGGGAAGAGTGCAATGATAATACCAACATGGGCCAGTGAAGCAACGTCCTCCACAACTAGACTGAAGAACAAAACGACAGCAACTTGTCTGTTCCCCTTCCCCAGCGCTGTTCCCCTCCCCCAATTCCCCAATAAAATCTTAAAAAAAAAAAGATAACTATTATTCTGACTTATGTCACCATGGGATAGCTTTGCTTGTTCTTTTTTTTTTTTTTAAGATTTTATTTGGGAGTTGGGGGAGGGGAACAGACAAGTTGCTGTCCTTTTGTTCTTCAGTCTAGTTGTGGAGGACGTTGCTTCACTGGCCCATGTTGGTATTATCATTGCGCTCTTCCCATGTGAGGCAGATCGGTCGCCGGCCTCTGCACGGCCGCTCACGGCAGCTCTTAGCAGCTCACACCAGCTGCTGGCTGCTCATGCTGGTTGCCAGCCACACACGGTAGCTTGTGGCAGCCCATTGTAGCAGAGGCTGTAGCCTACGCCGTGGCCGGCGACTCTCGGCAGCCCAGCTCCAGGTCGAGCTGTTGTTCACCATCTTAGCTGTAGAGGGCGCAGCATCACTGGCCCCATGTGGGATCCAAACCGGGGCCCTGCTGCTTGGAGCTGGCATCTCAAGCCAGCTCTTAACCAACGCGCCAGTTGGCCGACCCATGGTTATCTTTTGAAGGGGGATTAGATTGGGTGGAGACACAAAGGGAGACTTTTGGGCTGCTGGAAATTTCTACATCTTAACTTGGATGATGGTTACATGGGTGTATACCAATGTAAGAATTCGTCAAGCTGTACACTTAAGATTTGTGCATTCTGCATGTCTATGTTATAGCTCAATAAAAAAGCAATACAAAGTCCTTGGTACAGACTAGACATTAGGAGTATTAATAGAACAAATGGATGTGTGACTTGAGCTCTCCAACTTGGTTTCATTTACTTCACCAGTAATACTAGAAGTTTAGAAACTTTTTGATGTTTGTGCAGGCAGAGCTAACTCCATCTTGAAAAGCTGACTCCAGTTTCAGGCTAAACCATCATCTTAACTTCTAAGTGAATGAACCTAGACCTTTGATCCCCTCCCTTCCCCCTGGGGTGGACTCTGGAATGTGTACAGAGGCTTTGGGCTAATCACAAATTCCCATTAATCCTTCCTCAGGGATAAGGCACCCTCAATGGTATCTATCTCTTAGCTCATGTTGGCACCAAAGCCTCCCTGGTATCTGGTCCCTTTGTTTCCCTTGGCCACCCCATTCCTTTCCTAGCACACAGGTCCATCTCTAAGACAGGGATAAAAGAAGGTGGTTGAGGGGGTAAAAGATGTGGGGATCTGAATGTCCTGTTGCCCCGAGACCACATATCTGTATGTAAGTTCCTATTAAACTCATTAACCAACAAACTGGACTTATCTGTCTTATTCTTTGGTCTTTCGGCTCCTTTGGTGTTTGGGGGGGCCACTTTGAATATAGTCTTTTCATGGAACAATGTTAAATTGTGTACCCAAGTGACATACAAAGTTTAAAAACATCTTCTCAGAGTAATATGGTTTAACTCTACTACAAACTCTACTACTACATACTGTGGGTCTTATCAGTTTATTTAAACTACTTAATATTTCTGAAATACTCAACCCATGTACACATTTGTATATACAGATAAAGTTTTGTTTTGATCCGATGAGTATTCATCATCCCTTTTAAGTGCCTAACTGGACTTATCCTGTGGAGGTTACACAGGAAACAGGCACTATCTCTGGAGGAGATTACAGTCTTTCTTTGCCTTCCTTTTGTGCAGGCAGGCCAAAGCACAGATTCATACTCTATCTATTCATGTCAGACCAGACTCATGTCAATCTGGAAAGTGGGACAGATGAAATCTATACTACCTATCAATATCTCCTGTGAAAACTATTTCATTACTACAGGTTAGTAAGTGCCCTTAGCACATCAATGCATCACTTATCCAAGGTGCAAATCCAAAAGAATGTGTATGTCAGGTGTGCAGGCTAACTTCACACTTATCACAATACCCCAGTGCTAATGGGGCTCACAGCAACTGAGCATTTTCTGACATTTTAATCCTATAACAGCTTTTTTTTTTTTAAAGATTTTATTGGATAATTGACGGAGGGGAACAGCGCTGGGGGATCACGGGAAGGGGAACAGACAAGTTGCTGTCTTTTTGTTCTTCAGTCTAGTTGTGGAGGACGTTGCTTCACTGGTCCATGTTGGTATTATCATTGCACTCTTCCCAGATGAGGCAGATCGGTCGCCGGCCTCTGGATGGCCACTCACGGTGGCTCTTGGCAGCTCACACCGGGTGCCGGCTGCTCACGCTGGCCTCCGGCCACACATGGTAGCTTATGGCAGCCCACTGCAGCAGGGGCTGCAGCCTACGCCGTTACAGGGGACTCTCGGCAGCCCAGCTCCAGGTCGAGCTGTTGTTCATCATCTTAGCTGTAGAGGGCAGTGTCACTGGCCCTCATGTGGGATCCGAACCAGGGCCCTGCGGCTCAGAGCTGATGTCCCAAGCCAGCTCTTAACCAACGCGCCACTCGGCTGGCCCCTATAATAGCTTTATATGTATACACTTATTTAAATCTCTTAACAACCCTGAATGAGATACTGCTACAATCCCCATTTTACAGATGATAAACTGAGTCACTGACATATTAACTTGCCCTAGGTTCACAGGTATTCAATGTCAGGACTGGTATTTGAATCCATGCAATCTGATTCTAGAATATAATTACCATATATTCTTTTTTAATTGACATATATAATTGACGTATAACATTATATAAGTTTAAGGTATACAGTGTGTTTTGATACATTTATATGTTGCAATGTGGTTATCACCATAGAGTTAGCAAACACCTCTATTATGTCCCATAATTATCATTTCTTTTTTGTGGTGGGAACAATTAAGATTCAGTCTCTTACATTACCATATATTTTTAACCACTCAAGGTAAGAAATGATGGAAGCTGTGCATCAGGGAGGCAGATGATTTGTTCTAAGGTATTTTTGGTAGAGTGGTACAGCTATGTCACAGCATATTGGGATGACATTTCAGGATCATGCAGAGGGCTTGGCCACCTAGATTTTCGGCAGTTCCCCTTTTCCAACTACAGTATTATCTTCCCACTGCTTGCTGGCTTTCTTCTTCACTTATTCGTTCAGGCTACAAATAGTTATTATAAGCCTACTATGTACCAGGCTTCTGTTTATGTGTAGGAAACGAGAACATAGATAAGACACGGACCCTCCCATATTTATGGCATAGATTGTCCTCCAGTTCACAATTTCATTCTGTTTACCTTTGCATCAGTTAAGACTGTTGCTTGATGTGAGTTGACCCCAAAGTAACTTTTAAAAACTCCTGACCCTTTGCTTTTTGATATTAAATAACAGCAGCAGCATCGAAGTCCCAGTTAAGAAAAGGCCTTTTCGATGGCACAAAGCAAGGTTTCTTTTTGTTTTAATTTGGGAGTGTTTCAAGTCCAACTTAGTTCCATCATTTACTTCCTACCAGTTTGATAACCAGGGACCAATAACTCCCTAATCTGTGGGCTGTTTAATGTCGATATAGAACTACCCTGGGAGCAATAGACTAAGGCCCTTTTCCAGATGTCATGTTTTAAGACTTTCAGCTGGAAAGCCCTTCACGATTGAAAGTGAATGGCTTTCAACAGTGAAATTTATTCTGATTATTATAAGTCCGGATTCTGTCTTATTCAGAAACAAACAAAAGAATTGACCTCTGGCTTGCTGCCTCCTGCATTTCTGGCTCTAGGCCATATGGTCATCTAATTTGTAGTTTTTCAGGCAGTCAGAGGTTAGAAACTGGCAAATGAGGCATCAACAGCAGGTAAGTGTGTCAAGGCTGAGAGGAATTGTGAAGACTGCTATAGAAATCGCTTTTTAAAAAGTCACCTCCTGTTGTACAAAGCACTGCAGCCTCTTCCTTTCTCTGGTGTCTTTTGCCAGGTTCTTTTTGAGAGCCCCAGGTCCAAGAGGCACCAGACATTGTTTCCTCGGGTTGTGTTGCACACAGGTAATTATGCTAAAAATCTGTCCTAATAGCGCTTATTATACTTCAGTACATTTTGCATTTTATACTACTTTTCTTTGCTCCTTGGGGACAAATATGTTAAGGATTCCTTTGTGAATAAACAGAATAGCAAACCATAAATCAGCCTATCTGTGGGCTTGAGCCTGTGTTCTTAACAAGACTGGTATTGCTTTAAAACAGGGCTTGCCCACGCTGCAGGCCTATACAGTTTGTTTGGGATGGACAAGGCGCTTTTAGTGCAACTGCATCGGTAATTAAAAATAAAAAGTATACTAAGTCATTAATTCAAATGAAATAGCAAGTATGTGAAATGAAAATAATTTACTCCTAATTTTAAGTGTTTTGTACTGTTCTTTTTGAGGCCCTTGCCTGCTGCTAGCGCTGAGGAATGTGCTTAGTCGGCATACCGAGTTGTCCACGTAAGTCGTCTAGGGCCTGGGACTCGGGGTCAAGACAGAGAGATGGACTCCAGACACCACCCAAAGCTAGGTGTTGTTTGCCCTTCCGGGTCCACGAGGAAGCTGATACCTGGAACCCTCCCTGTGGGCCTGGCCGGCAAATGGGTCGGCTTGATTAAAGGTGGTCTGAGCTGCCCCTTCGTGGCCGCTTTGGAGGGCTGCGGCCGGGTCGGAGCCTGGGAAGAAAAGCCGTGGGCAGCTAACAGTTGGGGCGTAATGTGGGACAGAGCCAAGCAACCAGGCCAGGGCATCCCGGCCAACGTCAGAAGCTGGCGCCTGGGCCTCGTAGCGGACAACGCTGTCCGCCCGCTCCGGCCCGCACTACAACTCCCGGTGTGCCCTGCGCTCGCTCGCTTGCTCGCTGAGGGCAAGCGGCCCGGCATGTACTTCACCGGCCGGCCTGGCAGTGGGCGCCGTGCTGGGCCCACTCAGCTACTTGCGAGGCCCGCCTCCTTTCACTCCTCGCCGCGTCCCTGTCTATTCCGACTACCCCGGATTTGGCCCCATCAAAGCAAAACAGCCAGCTACATTCAATCCGAAGAATCGGTTCCAGCCAATAAAGTGTGCAGACTCAGGCCACGTGACAGAAGCAGGGCGGTGCTTTGGTGGCGCCCTGATCTCTATGGTTTTCGTGGCTCACTTACAGGGCGTGTGGTCCGCTGGAGGACTCGCTAAGTCCTTCCTCCATTACCTCACTGCCTCTGGTGGCTGCTGGGATACCGGAGGACTCGGGTCCCGGCTCGACTCAGACCTCCAGCTGCCCGGGTAATGCCTCCAGCTCTTCCTGCCACTGCCGCTTGCCGCTTCCTCCTCCGTCCGCCTGCCGGCCTTCCTCGCCCCGCCCCGTAACGCGGGCCCGCTTCTCTTGGGAGCCCCCACCCAGGCGCATGGCTCCATGAAGCAGGAGAAGGCAGAGCGCGAGAGGTCCCGTCCGCCCCGGCTGCGCCTGGGCCAAGAGAGAAGGTGAGAAACTCGTGCTGCGCCTCCTCCGCAGGGTCCGGCCTCCCTCGGGCCGCCGCCGCCATGCCCGCCGGGCCTCCTCACCCCGGCAAGCTGAGCAGCAGGGGCGCGGACGCCCGGGATCGAGGCGAGGGTCCGGGGCAGTGTGGGGGAGGGGCTCCCGGGCGTCGGTGGCAGGAGGCGGCGGGCAGGCGAGGCCTGCTGGCCGCGTGTCCCCGTTGAGGGCGGGGGTCGGAAGACATTGTTGGGGAGGAGGCAGGCAGACGCCCCTGCCCTGGGCCGCTGGGCGAGGCGAGGCTCCCGCTCCTTTCCGCACACCCTCCGAGGAAACATTGTCGGGTCAGTGTAAAGTTTGGTGGTCTCCGGCGCCGCCTGGCGGCCCCCACCCTTTCACCGCCCCCTCCCCCGCCGGGCGTCTGGATTCCACCCCCGCGGCTCGGCCCTCGCTGCCCTACCCGTCGTAGGGCGGTCTCCCCAACTCCTCCCAGTTCCCCGTACTCTCATTCCCCACCCCCTTTTTTTCTTACCTTTCACCTTTTCTGTCGGCCTGCTTTGCCTCCTGCCCGCCCCGGCCTCTCCTTTCCCCACTCTGTCTTATCCTTTTCTTGCTTCACTCTCTTTTCATACGCATGCTTTCTATATTCCTCTTCTCTTTTTTTTTGCCAACCCTACCCTCAATCTCTCCTTCCTTTTCCATCCATTGCCCCCTTTTCCGTTGTCCCTCCACTTAACACTCTTTGGGTTTTGTGCCTCTCCCCATCCAGGCTGTGGGGTTTGCCCTTCATTGCCTGTCTTCCATTCCACGTCCTGATCTGAACTCAGTTTGCCACACTTCCTTCCCCTTCATCCCTGTAGGCCTATCCTCTTTCACTGTCCTCTTCTTGGATAGAGTGGGTGGGGCCTGGAGTCTCCTGTTTACATCTTTAGGAATAGCTCGATTCTCTACTACTGGGGGGTGGGGAGAGTTGGGGAGAGATTTTGAAGAGATTTATGTAAGACTCAGGATGAGTGACTTGCCAGAAGTTATCATCTTCACCCGGGGTAACAAAATGGCCTGTCCTCAGGACCCTAGCACTTCCAAAGCACCATCTTTGCAGATGATTTGGGAATGTGTTTGTATTCTGAAACCAGTGGAGAGCCTTTGAAATGGTATATCTTGGCCTGAGAGCAAGCAAGTTTTGTTCTAAATTATTGTTGGAGGAAGTTTTAATATGTGTCTCATGTTCAGGTTCAATAAAACCTTTGATCCTCAATGTCCTCCCTTCTTGGTGATGACACCAAGGGTGAGGTGACTCAGTCAGTGCATGGGACTGCTGTTGCCACCTTATATTTAGACTTTGAAATGTTTTGAAGTAAGGAAAGCCTGTTCCTTATTTGTTTTTTGAGAAATTGCTCTGTTGAGTTGTAGTTTTTTCAAAACCATCTCTTACCTCTGCACTACCTTGATTTTATTCATTCACTGCACCTGCATTTCCATCTTAGGTACAGGACGAAGGAATGGAATCGGAAGGAAGAAAATTCATTTCAGAGACAAAATAGCTCCCCTCCTCTGTTATAGCTGTTCCCCTGGCAGTACAAACTTTCTGCTTTCAGTGAGTATTACCTTGGACATATTTAGAATAGAATTTTGTTGCTTTTTTTGTTTTAGGCCTGTGTTAGGACTTGAGGGTCTAGGTTTACTTTGCCCATGTGTATTTTTCTATTTCCATGAGGGGGGTCCTAATATTGATGAAGTTCCTTCCGCTTGCACTCTTTTAAAATAATTTAAATATGTAAAGAAAGGTTTATTGTCCGTAATCTCATTAGAATGACCTAGGTGGTGGTGCAGCATTACATTTACCCTTTATGTTTTTAGTACATAAGTCTGGCTCTACCCCCTCCCCAAGTTACTAATTTTTTTAAAGACAACCAAAGGTCGTAACTCACAGGTTAATGCAGTTCCTATCAAAGTCAATTATTGGGTCTCATCCATACATTTCTAATCTATAGAGATTTTTGTAACATTTTGCCCTAAATCGGCTATAGTAATACTATTATCTTGAAAGTAATTAAAATTCTACATGTAAACAAAGTTCTGGAAAAATTTTGTTACTGATGTGTTTCCTTGAGTTTATTAATAACTCTTGTAAGAGAGTTTTTCAGAGTGCTTCACATTTTATTGGAGCTTCAGAAACCCTCTGGGAGGGAGGCAGGGAACAAATATTTTCATTTAACAAATGAATGAATTGAGGCCCAGAATGATCTGGCACCTTGCCATAGGTCACATGGGAAGGGCTCTAAAAACAAAATAGAACTTTTGACTCCTATGTTTGTTTGTTTTTAAGTTGACATGAAAATGTATAGTTCTGTGCATTTTTCTAAATCTACCACTTTTAAAAAAGCAATAATATACGTAGGTCTGCATTTTTCAGGGAAAATTTTCACACAGCAAGTGTTTTTGTATTTTTGGATATGAGTAGGACATGTATGATGGAGTTTCAAATATATAAAAATAATTATTTGAAATGATATACCAGAATGTTTGTGGGTTTTTCATCTATTTTTTGCAGTAGTTCCAATAAGTAGGCCAGAATTATAGCTCAAGTGTCATTTCACTACTCATATAACACAGTTATTAAGTTGAATTTCAGTTTAATTCTGTAACAAAGGAAACAACAGTCTGTCCCCTTCTGTATAAACCTTGATTTGAACGAACATCTAGACACTAAATAATAATAGAAGAAAATGCAGAGACCCCATTTTTCTTTGCCTCTTTCCTACCTCACAAATTTGTTTTATTTGTTATAGGGTCATGCTCCCTAATAAACTGTTTTGAGGCTTGTCTTCAAAAGGTGAATCTGGATTTTTTTTTTTTTTTTTTACCTCCATGCTTTTCTAGATATTTTAATCTGGTTATTGTTTGAAATCTACTTTGATGCAGTAGTTCTATTAGTACTCAGTATATATCAAGAATAGCATATTTAGCAAGTTTAGTTTCTTTTTAGTGTAAGCTTAAAAGAGGACCTCTGTAGAATAGAACTGTGTACAACTCTCAGACAGCCCAATATGCTTCATGTTTTCTGGCATTCACAATGAAAAGAACAGTGGATGATTTATTAGAAGTTATTGCTGTCCAAAGAGGAAAAGCATTGAGGTGTTTGAAGTAATAATCCCATGTTAGTAATATGGTCTTTTAGACAAGGTAATTGTTAATAGAATTTTATTATGGAGCTATTTATTTCTCTAGGTGAGAACTCAGAGCTGTGTTATTTTTGGACCCAACCCTGCTTTCAGTAGCAGAGGTAGTGATAATATTGATAGTAGCAGATACGTGCCAAAGGACTGCTAGGTGCTGTTCACGTCTTCTCACTGAATGCTCACAAATAATCCTGTGTGGCAGCAGGGCCAGGTCCACAGAGATGTGACATCATGCCTGAGTTTGCATGGCCAGTATGTGGCCAGTCAGGTTTGGGATTTCAGCCTAGATGGCAACCCCAGAGCCTAGGCTCTGTCCTCTGAAGATTGGAGCTGCTCTGGGAAGACATCAGCTTGTTGTTTCTGCTGGACTTAGGAGCCTTGGAAGAGACCCATGCCAGCGAGGGAGGAAGGTCCTCTGCCCTGCCAACCACTTCAGTCAGGCTGTCCTCATACCCTCCCTCAGTACTGGTCTCCATGCCTTGTTTATAAACATCAGCAACTTATAAGGCATTATTCGTATGAAGTCTTGAAATCATACATTGCTCTGTAAGCTAATAGTGCTCCAGTGTGTAGCTGTTAAAGCGCTCCATCATTCAAAACAAAAGAAAGAAAATTCTTCTGAAGTACAATTCAGAAACTAGGTATGGCCTGTCAAAAGAAAGCCTTGAGCAACCTAAAGTTAAATAGAACCTGAGGCTAAGTCCAGGACTAATCAGTTACTGGTGTATTTAAGTAAAGAAGACCACTACCAGCATAAACCAAGACATTAATGTGAGGTTATTTGACCTAATTCTGAATGAATTGTCCATATTGGCTATCCATTTTGCTATGAATTATGCCATTCCTAGGTTTTGGCTGAACAGAGTTGACTGTGATAAGAATAGATACTTGTAATTTACTTAGGCTTCTGATACACTCCAGTTAGCACCTCACTATGGAACCAAGCATCTAAAGATTAGGCTGTGCCATAAACATTTTTATAAAAAAGACAAACTTAAACTACTAGGAGATCTGTAGATGAGATTATTCGGTGTGTGTGCTACATGCAGGGTACCGTGTTAAGTGCTGGGAAAGATCAAACGCAAATGAGACTCAGCCTCTGAGAGTAAAGGTGAGGATGATTTCACTGCCAGTTGGAGTTTAAGTGGCAAGAGAACGCCCCTCAGCTTCCTGGCAGAGTTGGCCTTTGTTGTGGACCCTAAGGAAGGTCAGGGCCCCTTGGGTGTTGCATGTCAGGTAAAGAAAGGCCCAGTGACTTCAACACTGAGCATACTTTATTTGACACTTGCTAGGTCAGGAAGTCTAAAGTGAAGGGATAAAACAGCCGTTCTTTTTATTTCCTCCAGCATTTTGTGGAAGTATGGCTTTGTCTCCATCTGGTGGAGATCCATTTGTAACTAGCTCATCCTATTGATCTCATGTGGACAGACGTAGGAAAATGAGATCATTACGGCTGGCTCTTAAAGTGACCCTTGAGTTTAGCTTTAAAAGAGTAACCAACGGAAGGCTTGGGAGGGTCTCGGTGACATGTGTCTATAAAGCAAGTGTTTTATACCTGATTCCAGTTATTTCAGATGAACCGACTTCACAGGAACCACTGTCACTCCTGTGATCTAAGTACTATCATTGGTAGTTTTTATGAGGTTTGGGCATGAGTGAGAACAAATTGACACACCGTTTACAAGTGTTGAGTATGTCATTAGGGGCATTTGTTTTTAGCCGGTCAGACAGCTGGTTAGTATTGAAATGGCTGTTATTCTGAGGTACCTTACACTGTACTCTCAGACACGAAGCTGTTGGAGAAACGAGTGTCTGTAATCATTGTAGGGCAGTCCTGAGTCTGGGACTACTTGGTTGAGGTGAGATGCCCACTTTGTTAGATTGGGTTAGAAGAGTCTCCAACCTAACGAGAAAGTTTTGATGAAATTGGTGAATAGTGGTTAATGTTGTAAATTAAAAGTATTTACTACAACACCATGATTTACTTCACATTCTTTACTGTAGTTCATTTAATATTTGCTTTATGCTGACAGATAAGTGAAATATTGGCCCTCTTCAAAATAATTCAGTGAAGATGGGGAGATGGAGTCAGTGGGTAGGCTATAGATGAAATAAGATTGACCATATGTTGAAAATTGTTAAAGCTGGGTTTAGGGTTCATTATACTATTTTATTTTATTTATGTTTGAAATTTTACATAGTTTTAAGTTTATAAAGTACACTTATAAAGAAATGCCTTCTCATGTATTTTTGATACAGAAAGTCTCTAACTCTGCCTTTGGTCACTAATTGAGAATATCAATTGAATTGTTTGTTTGGTGGCATCCTGAGAAATGGTTGGTCTAGAAAGACACAAGATTTGGGTTGGCTTTATTGATTTCAAATCATAGTTTGGGAGGGTGTGGGAGAATTGTTAAATGTAATTGGTTGTGATCATGCCTCATGCAGATCAGTGATTATACATGGTGTGTAGGCAGAATATGCCTGGACTTGAGTTCTTCAGCCTTGGCATGGTTTGAAAATCCCTTCATTTGCTCTGTTGTGGGGTATTTCCCTGGTCAGGTAGTTGGTAACACCTGCTAAGGAACACCTGAGTTGTCACCATCTGATAACATTTAGCTCTTCCTTTAGGGGTGCTTTGGTATAATGAGAATGAGGCAAGATTTTTTTTTTTTTAACCTTTGTGTGTCATCCCTTCTCTTGGCTTCTTTAACCTTTGGGGCTCTCCAGAGGCAGAGCCTCCGGGCCCCATTAAAACTCCAGCTCTCGGGCCAGCTGAGTGGCACGTTGGTTAGGAGTTGGCTTGGGACGCCAGCTCTGAGCAGCAGGGCCATGATTCGGATCCCACATGAGGACCAGTGACGCTGCGCCCTCTATAGCTAAGATGGTGAACAACAGCTCGACCTAGAGCTGGGCTGCCATGAGTTGCCGGCTACGGCGTAGATGCAGTGGGGCTGGCCAGCAGCGAGCATGAGCTTTCGAGAGCTGCCGTGAGCTGCAGTGAGCACCGTCCAATGGCCGGCGAGCGACTGCCTCACCCGGGAAGAGTGCAATGACAATACCAACATGGGCCAGTGAAGCAACATGCTCCACAACTAGACTGAAGAACAAAAGGACAGCAACTTGTCTGTTCCCCTTCCCCGATTCCCTCCCCAACGCTGTTCCCCTTCTCCAATTCCTAATAAAATCTTTAAAAAAAAACAAAAACAAAAAACTTCAGCTCTCTGGAGATAGTCCTGACTGCTTCACTTAACCAGAAAAGAGCTCAGAGGCCAGTAATATCTATTGTGAACTCAAATGATAATGTCAAGGGTACTGATAATTGTCAGAGTGATGGCTGAGATGTTGGCTTTGGGCTTAGGTTTTGAGGTTTTTTTCCTGCTCTGTTTTTGTTGGCAGGATTCTGCAAACTATTAGGCTAGCTTTTAGTATGCCTTTGAATATAATTTGTTTTCCATCATGCCCTTAGGATAGGGACTGAATCCAATGGCTATTATTGGCAGCCCTCACTCTTCTTTGTGACCTGGTGGGGAAACCCAAGCCTTGTAGTCTGGCAGGTAGATTGTGGTCCCAGTCCTAACTCTCCACTTAGTGGCAGTCTGGCTTTGGGCAGGTTATCTGGCTTAGTTAAGCCTGAAGCTCCACCTCTGTAAAATGAGGGTAACAGTGTCTGTCTTGCTGAGTGGTTTTGAGGATTCCGTGGAACCCTGTTTAAAGAGCACCTGTGCAATGCAAGCCCTGTGCTAAGCCATGGTGCACAGTGAAGTCCTGGCCTTCTGGAAGTTCTGTCCTAGTGGGAGCAGCCCAGCAAAAGCCAGGTGACGAGAGTGGCTAAGTAAATTGACACTTACTATGTGCCAGACACTGTAGTAAACACTTGACATGCATTAGACTCATTTAATTTTCCTAACACCCGATGAGGCAAATCCTGTTGTTATTCTCTTTGTGAAGAAACTGAGTAAGAGAGGTAATCCTAAAGGAATCAGGATTAGAACCCAGGCCAACTGGCTCGGGAGGCAGCATTTTTAACCAGACGCTCTGCTCCATGTCTTAACAGCCTAAACAAAATAAAGACGTCTATGCTCAGAACAGTCTAGTCTTTGGAGGTTTTCATGTATCAGTTGCATAAGGCTTTCTCACAAAGAAGCCAGACATTGAAGTATGCAAGCTGTTATTCCTCAGCTATAGACAACTTTTATCTCACTGAGCATCGTCCTAGACACAAAAATGTGTATTTTGTTACAGATCAGCATATATCAAGAACATGAATAACATTTGTGAAATTTTTGTGTCTCATTCAACTTAAAGTGACAGGTGGTTTTGGTAGAAATAATGGCATTGCAAATGGGTATGTAAATATCTAATTTGATTTAAAAGGTAGAATTTACAGCCAAAACACTATGTTGTAGAGCAGTGCCCTAAAAGACAGTTACATGCTATGTGTTCAAACCATAGAGAAAATTTTAGGTAGAGTAATACATTATGATGTGGGGGAGGTTCTAAAACTAACATGTAACAACTTGAGAAAAAACAATACTTTTCTCAAGTCAACAGAATTTTACAAACTTAGTTAGGTGTAATCGATATTGAAATGACTAGGATCTGTTTTCCTGATTCTGTTGATTATTGACACAACAGATAAAGGATCTTGGTTGTTATAGCTATGCATTTTTACCTTTGGCTTTTTAAGGGGAAAAAATTTAGTAAAATATATCCTCCCTCTCCTTCATATCATCAGATGGGACACTGGTTTCCTGGCCCATCGGATGCCACATTTTGTTAAAATGAGTGGCTTTGCATATGTCTGCCTTGGTATGACAGGGCAGAAATGGCTACCTCACAAAAGGATTGAAGCTAGGGTCATTTGTATGAAAGGTTTCCACTAGGTTGTAGCTTTTCTTGAATCGGGTCTTGAAAGGATAGAGAGATGTGTAGAAATTGGAGTGATTTCAGAGAGCTGAAGAAAATGAGAGACATCGGAGAACGAGAGCTGTCGGCAGAAAGATGGGAGCCTGTGTTAGGAGGTTTGCTCTTTTCATAATGGCAGCTAACTGCTTTTCACCTTCCCTAGATATGGGGCTGAAATTGCACAGATTCAGGTTAGTGATGAAGAAAATGCTAAAAGGATGTAGTTAGCAGGAGAAAGCATAAAGGTTCCTCTGGGATCCTTTAAAAATAGGGTGGTTCAACTTGGTAAAAGGTAAAGAAAGCAATCTGACGAAGAGTCCGACCAGCTTCGCGATGGCTGCTACCCACCCTTCCTTCTGCCCAAGAGAGTCTTGGGCAAGAGAGAACCTTCTCACATGCCTCCACCCATGGTGATCATAGCTTTATGGAAAATAAAATAAATTGTTCCCCTTTAGGAAAAGGTTAGGAGCTCCTGGTCTGGAATTCAGGGTTTCTTCCCTAGCCTTGCTGGTCTGTGACGGTTTGTGACCACGTGACCTGGGTGAGAGAAAGAATTGGTGATCCTACCTCTCCATGTAGACTCTCTTTGATGTTTTGTTTTCTCCTTTTAACTAACCATTTGAATTAATCTTACCTATTCTCTTTTTGGTTAGGGTTCTGTAACATTCCAGACCTCGAGCACTGAATCAGGATGGGAAAAAGACGTTGTGTTCCTCCACTCGAGCCCAAGTTGGCAGCAGGCTGTTGTGGGGTCAAGAAGCCCAAATTATCTGGAAGTGGAACGCACACTCACGGGAACCAGTCCACAACTGTCCCTGGCTCCAGTTCAGGACCTCTTCAAAACCACCAGCATGTGGATGGCAGCAGTGGTCGGGAGAATGTGTCAGACTTAACTCTGGGACCTGGAAACTCTCCCATCACACGAATGAATCCCACATCGGGAGCGCTGAGCCCTCTCCCCCGACCCAATGGAACTGCCAACACCACCAAGAATCTGGTGGTGACCGCAGAGATGTGCTGCTACTGCTTTGACGTCCTCTACTGTCACCTCTATGGCTTCCCACAGCCACGACTTCCTAGATTCACCAATGATCCCTAGTGAGTAAATTCATCAGGGCAGGGGACAGTGAGAAAGGTGTGATGGCATCTTTCTGGGGTCATTCTTTTGAGAGAGCTTGCTGCTTATAAACGCTTTACTGTGATTTGGGAAAAGGGTAATGGGAATAGGATGATGAGAAATGTCCAACAATATCTAGACCATTCACTGGATTTAGTAATGGAAGAGAACTGGGTTATGTTTGGAGGAGGTGTAGGCTTGATTCTTCAAATTAGAAGGATTTTGGTTTTAGCGCTTTTAACCTCTCAGGTATAGAGGTCACACCATCACAGCATTGTGGACCCCCATAGTGTTGAAGTCCAAGTGAGTTGGGGGTTTCTGAGGTCTACGTTGGCGACTAGGGGCTCATTTGCAGGAACTGTGATGCTCTTAACAAGGTCTGACTGCCCGTTGGCAATCCCCTGGGGCCGCCGGCACTTCCCGAAGAATGTCAGCGCTGCTGTTTTTAGTTCAAGACTGCTTTTGGTTCCAATCCTTCTCGTATGTCAGTGATATAAACAGGGAACGTGTAGAAAGCACAAAATGAAGAAACTCATGCCGTTGTTTGCGGCTTTCTCAGAATTGGAAGCAGCTCTGAGCTGGCTTTAAAGAGCACTGCTGCTTTTTGATTGCTGTTTTTAGGAGATGCTTTGGAGCACTCATTGACCTAAGAGCATCTATTTCTCAACTGTTAGTGCCACACCAGGGCACTGCGTAGCCCCCCTACGCAGGCCATTGAGGGGCATGCAGAAAAAGTCTCTCTCGGAAGACTTGTCGAGGTGGCAAGTCACACACACAGAGCTAAGTGTGTGTGGCACACTGAGCAGAAGTAGAGGGGACGTTGCTCGTGTGTGACTGTGTAAGAGAAGAGGAAATGTAAAGGAAATGTGCTAACTTGTCAGGGAAGCATTGCCATGGGATAACATGGTCAGAAGAATCCTGACTAGGGATTCTGAGTGTTGGTCTAAGGGGGGTCAGGTGTGTCCCATAAAGGAGAGGGACACAGATTTGGAAGAGTGGGTGTAGTGTATGAGGCTGTTACATTCAGGGGCTTATATTTCCATCCTGCAGACAGTGGAATTCTTGTTTGGGTAGATTTGGAGAGAGTAACCTTGGCTGGTGCCGTTCAGGTGTTTTAGTGCAAAGAAAAGAAAAGGGTAGATGGGAGACCTGCTTTGTAACAATGATCGAAGTAGTAGAAAACTAAAAATTTAAGTTGCTCTTTTGAAGTGTCTGTCTCAAGAATCTTAAGAGGTAAGGGCAAAGGAGATGAAGGCATCTCAGGAAGGGGGGACAGACTTGTATCCTCTTTCTAAAAAAATCTGTCACCATCAGTCTGATGCAGCCTAATGAGGCATGACTTTGGCCTAGAAACAGAAAGTGGCAACTTCTGCTAATAATGAACTCTCTTCAAGAGACATTTTTTTCTTTTCTGAACATTTATGAACAGGAGCTATTTGTAATTACCAGGAGCAGAAATAACTATGGGAACAATGTGGGATTGCAGGGCTTGCTTGCAAATAAGGAGGAAAAGGTATACAGGCCCAGGGTGTCTTCGTGAAGGATGGAACTGGGGAACATGGACACTCAAAACAGTAAAGAAGAGGAGAGAGACATGGAGAATTAGAAGGACAGAAAGTGGAGCCTTGAGCAGTGGAAGAGGAATATAGCACATATGCATGGTGTCTGAGCTGTAAGCAGGCACATGGGCAAGGCAGCCCAGAGAGCCTGTCTTCACACCGCCGTGTTGAGCTGTCTTCTCCGTTTCCCTGCAGGGACTGCGCGACTCCCAGAAAGGCAGGTAGCCAGCTGGCAATTCAGAAAACAGTCCTTTGGGGGAATCACAGAAATGAACAGGGATAAAGCCACGGTTTTGTTCTTACCCATGAGTACTTTGGGGCTGGAGAGTGTTTTGTGTTTTGCTTTTTTAGTCCGCTCTTTGTGACATGGAAGACAGGGCGGGACAAGCGGCTTCGTGGCTGCATTGGGACCTTCTCAGCCATGAATCTTCATTCAGGACTCAGGGAATACACGTTAACCAGGTAATTAATTACACCAGGCATAAGATCTATAGATAAATTGGCAATCAGATTTATCTACAGGATCGAAAACAACTGCCTGACTTTATTTCTTCTAAGAATGAGTGTTCTCTTCTTGGTAATCAGGGAATGTGGGGGCTTTAATCCAGTGAGTCACTTACCAGTTCAAGTATAGACAGTTAATAAGTTGTGTTTTAGCACGCTAGTATTGACGGATAATAGATGTCCTCTGTGTAGCTCAGGGCATGTGGTGTTGGCTCCCAATTTGAGAGTAGCCTCACACATGCTTTCTGTCCCCTCCAGTGCACTTAAGGACAGCCGGTTCCCCCCCCTGACCCGAGAGGAGCTGCCTAAACTTTCCTGCTCTGTCTCCCTCCTTACTAACTTTGAGGATGCCAGTGATTACCTGGACTGGGAGGTGAGAACAGCCGCATTTGGAACTCTGCGTCTCTCGTTGCATTTGGGTTCGGGTTAGTACATGGTAATGTATCTCCTTCATTCAGGGCATAAGAATGTGAAAGCTGAACTTGGAAGCAATTGTGGGCAACATAGGTGACAGAAAAGCTGCTATGATATTATTAATAGAAGCAGAAAAATTGTGAAGGCTTTCTTCTCCCATTTCTTCCCAGTCCTCTCTGTTCCATGTCCTTCTCCCATGTCTAATAAATAATGGGGATAAAGCAGAATATCCTCAGAATATTCTAGATCCCTCTTGGTAAGCCCTTGTGTAAAAGTTGTTATATAGAGTCATTTGTGAAGAATCATGAACCCAGATCAAAACCCTGTGGCATGTTCATTTAATGGAATAAATTAAAGGTGGAATATTCAAGATTATCAGATAAGCTATTGAGAGAATTTATATCTGTAACTCAGAGGTGGCTACATGTAGAATCACACCTTCCCTCAAGCTAAAGTTTCTTTGGCTTTTATAGCTGAGAGAAAAAGTGAGTCATGGAAAGCAAGAGGTTCTCCTTTTCTCAGACCTAGGTCAAGCTGGTCAGGGGACAACGTCAGTTTATATGTGGATGACTGAAGTTCCCTTAGAATAAGTAAATGCCATTTATTTGGGGTTTTGTTTTGTTTTGTTTTGTCTGTAGGTAGGGGTCCATGGGATTCGAATTGAATTCATCAATGAAAAAGGCGTCAAACGTACAGCCACATATTTACCTGAGGTTGCTAAGGAACAAGGTGAGTTGGACAAATGGAATTTCAGTGAACGATACTGTTCACAGTGTTGCCAACTAAAGGGCAGAAAAATGGAGTATGTTGTTTTTCAGCCCAAGTGCAACTAAAAATGAGTGCCCTTCTTATAGAATAAGAACTAAACTCCCCAAAAGATGCAGACGCTGTGAAAAGAAAAAGGGTAAAGGTTTCTTTTACTCACCTGCATGCTTCACTTACTTTCAGTGAATAGTTTTATTTCTCGGCCCCCAAAATTAAGTGGTAATTGTTGGAAAATTCCACGAATTAACTTGACCATATTATGGAATTCATTGTAAAGGGAAGCTCCCAATATCAGTGGGTTTTGAATGCTTGGTCATGAATTATGAACCAGTGTTATACTTGGGAAAAGGCAAAACATAATTTCTCTCTTTTTTTTTTAAAGAACTCAGTTCTAAGTTACTAAGTTCTTAGAATGTGACATTAAAGCTAAGAAATGGGTTGGGCAGGTTTTCTCTGTAAAAGAATTACCTTTAAATGTTGCTTGTGCATTCTGTGATATGTAACCTGATTTTCCGGGGTTTTTTGAAATTAGTCTTTTTTTTTAAATTAATATGTGAAACACACAGTATTTTTTGGGTGGGAACCTGGAATAGAGAATAATATCGAGTTCAATATGTCAGTGAACTAATTATGTGAAGAGCAGTTGCCTTGTTGGTTTCCATTGTGATTGTGTTAAAACTTTCAAAAGCAGTGTGAATGTGACATAAAAAGGAAGCCTTTTATCCATCTCTGAGATCATAAATCTAACATTTCTGTGCAGGGTGGCTCACCATAAATATTTTCTAATACTGAGATGTGATGATAATTGAAGTAAATTACTTTCGCCATTTGAAACTTGCTTAGGAAAATTAAAAATTGGCACATACTGCAGTAATTTAGGGGGTTTTCTTTGTACATTGGGTTTTATCTGTTTAAAATGTGTGAGAACAACACAACAGTATGTGTGAGAACAGCTTTCCCATCCTTCCTTAAAGGGAAAGAAAGCTTCCTTCCCACATCAATTCTCTATAACAGAAACTAGGACGCCTGTAGGTCATCAGATTGAAGGAAGACCCCATGAAGGAATATCAGCTACAGGACTTGAACTCTGTCTCCACAGAACAGCTCTGGTCAGCAGCACTGGTCCAACAGGCTATCTGACTTGGGACCGAGTTTGTTCCTAGCTACCTATCCTGGGATCACATCTGACAGGAAAGACAGGAGCAGGGGTGCCTGGGGACACCATTATGGCATGTGTCAGGCCCTAATCTCAGGTCTCCCCGGTTTTCCTTGGACTGTCAGTGACTTGGGACCGAGTTTGTTCCTAGCTACCTATCCTGGGATCACATCTGACAGGAAAGACGCAGGAGCAGGGGTGCCTGGGGACACCATTATGGCATGTGTCAGGCCCTAATCTCAGGTCTCCCCAATTTTCCTTGGACTGTCAGTTTTCCTTAGACAACTCCGTTCTCTTCTCCCCATGTTAGAGCGTGTCCCTCTCTCATTCTGCACTGACCTCAGTGTGTCTCTTCTCAGACTGGGATCAGATCCAGACAATAGACTCCCTGCTCAGGAAAGGTGGCTTTAAGGCTCCAATTACCAGTGAATTCAGAAAAACGATCAAACTCACCAGGTAAGCCAGTGTCTCATTTTCCTTGTGTTTTAACTTAGGGGGTTAGATGGAGGATACTTTTGGTGCAGAGGGGAAGAAGAAAGTTTTCTCGGCGAATGTTTCTAACCCCCAGAAGCGTGGTAAGGCTGAGGCTCTGAGGAAGCAGTGGCATCAGAAGTGAACTCTCCCCAGCATCGTGGGCACCCGAAAGCTGAGCTGGCAGCAGGGTGGGAGCAGGGCCTGGGCCACAGAGCAAGTCGCAGTGTCTGTGCCACACTCGCTTGTGGGGATGCCGAGGGGAAAGCCTGAAGTCAGAGAAGGCTCTCAGTGCAGAAGGCCAGGCTTAGTTGAAGTCACATGCAGTCAGGTGGCAGGGATACGGGTGGCATGTTAAAGGACTAGTCAGAAAATGCTTTCAATAAAGAATTACAAGGACACGCCTCTGCCTGTTTGGGGTGAATGTTTCTTTGGGGAGGCTGCCTAGTGTGGTAGAATGCACATGGACTTGGGGTCTGAAACCCAGCTCTACCACTTAGCTGTGTGATCTGGGTCAGTTATTCTGCCTCTGAGTGGAAAAAAATTCTCCTGTCTGTAAGAAGTGAATAATAATGCCTTGGGGTTGCTTTAGGATTTGGTAAGGTAATGTGTGTGGAATTTCTAGACCAGGATCAAGCATTATTGTAGGTGATCAGGAGATGTCAGTTCTTTTTCCATCCCGACTGAAATTGGAAACACTGAGAGGTTTAGCTTCTGTGGGCTTCTGTGGGCCTCTGGCTCTCTCATCTGTAAAATGCTGAATAATCATATAGTAACCTCGTAGGTCTATTTGGAAGATAACCCAGTGTTTTTGAAATGCTTTGGATTCCAAAATAAACAAAAAAACTTCAAATACAAAGCATTATTATTATTATTATTATAATTTATTTGAACAGCCATTTCCCTGTCAAAATTCAGGAATAACCACCTTGCAGTGGAGGAGTGATTACAGTGGGAAAGAGATGGCTCTGGGTAAGGACTGTCACACCCAGCTCCTGTGGTCTGTAGTAGGCTCCATAGGTTTGTAACACCCCATGCTTTGCATCCTGACTCGTGGCTCTTTCCAGAGCAAAGCCAAAGTGCTATGAATTCTGTTCTGACGACCCTGTGATATGATATGGCATATTCATCTGGGAACTGAGACCTGTCCTATGTAGCCCCAGGATCCTTTAACCTGCTTCATGAGAATTTGACCCAAACTTAGGTATCTGTGCCCTTTTGGTTATAAATGACTTGTTTATTGCTTTTTGCAAGTTGAGGTTCTATTTCTGTCAATTTATCACATTTTAACCTGACAGTAGATACACAGTTTACACTGGGCGTTGGTGCAGTCGTCTTCCAATCTGCCTCCCATATCATTTGACCTTGAAATTCTTCATCCAGACCCCACTAGCAGATTGCTTAAGAGCAGTTGCTTAAGAGCAGCCTGATGATAACCATATGTAGTGTTTAAGGTGGGATGTGCAGAAAATACATTCTCAGGGGTGACTGTGACTGTGCTTTTTCATCTTGTTCATTTGTAATAACAACATTGTTTTCTTGTGCTGTCTTTCATTTTCTGTAAGTAAGGTTGCTCTTGGTCTTCCATTTTATTCTTTCAAAATGTGGAATAAGCTTTTGGTTTTCTCTGCTGAGTGACTTTACTAAACATAGTGTTTGAGGTTCCTAATACCCTTCCCTGTTTCCTTACACAGGTACCGAAGTGAGAAGGTGACAATCAGTTATGCAGAATATGTTGCTTCCCGACAGCACTGTCTCCAGAATGGCACTCTCCATGCCCCGCCCCTCTACAATCATTACTCCTGACACACGGCTGCATGACCAGTCCCATCCCCCTGTGGCCACCAGTGGCTACGACATCATTGGAGCAGATGCCTCCTCTTCCTGGTCCAGTTACTTCTATTACTGCACCATTTTATGATGCTAGCTTCCGTTGCCAAGTCTGCCTCCAGCTGACTGGGGGGAACAGGGGGCATGGGGTTATACTGAATGAAACAGAACTTGAGGGGCCCAAGCCTTATCTCAGCCTTTCCTCTTAGTGGGGTTCCGTTGGATTGGGGCTCCTCCATGACTGGTGAGAATTACTGTGTGGGTTCAGAAGACCCTTGGCACGCAGGTGCCACTGGTGGTTTGTCGTTTATGTGTTGGCCACACAGTGGAAGCTGAAATTGATGATTCCTGAAGGTGTATCCCACACACACTCCTACAGCCTCCCCAGATCAAGTAGGCGTATTCCCCTGGCAGTCTGGGCAACGGAGACCAACAAGAAACATTTTTAGGTTGTTTTAAATTCCTTTTTTTAAACTTCCAGTTTATTGCATACCAAGAGTTGATTACAACCTCCATGCTTCATACATGGACGCCATATTAGGGTTGGACGTGGGCACCGTGAGTCCTTTGAGGCTCCTGGACAGAGACCCACATCAAGATCAGAAGCCCTTTGGATGGCGTTGCAGATCTCATCGCTCAGTTAGCCTTGAAGGTTTTCATTCTCATCCCGCTATCAGTTGGATATTCTGGCACTCTTCTTGCATTGAGTCTCCTGGTCTTGAACAGAGCTCTGTGGTGTAGCCTACTGAGGAAGGAACTGGGATGCCTGCAGGAGGGCCCAATGTCGTTGCTGCAGGCAGCGGGAAAGGAGAGGCCTCTTCCTTACCACCCGGCTACCTCACTCCTTACTGGTAGCAGTGCCTATAGCTGCATCTAGGTTCTCAGAAGACATGGATGTTCAGACAAGCACCTGGGCTGGGCTTTAGAAAGACACATTGTCATAGGAGAGAACTGAGGCTCTCCACGCTGTTTTTATTTTCAGGTAAACATCCTTTCAGTAGAGGTGTTCCCTTTTCCTAGTTTCCCTGTAGAAGTGGGAAGATGGTTGATGATTCAGTCCTTTACAGGACTTTAGAACAAAGCTGTGTAATTAAACAAGGTGAATCTTGATCTTGCCTAATATGCTGGGAATCTTGACCCCACTAGGGCAAGATTCCAAATAGCTCATTTTATTCTAGGTCACTCAGACTTCCATGTGGCATATTTCCCTTTCCCACTGTTGCTGACTCCAAATAGCTGTCAGCAAGTTTCTCCTCCCTCTTGCCTACTCGTCAACTCATTTGGTGGCAAAGTTCATAGAAGTTGGGGACTTGGAAGATGCTTTGGAAACATTGTCACAGAGGCACTGCTGCAAGTATTCACAGGAAGAGGTGGCCAGTTGGAAGAAAAGACCCTAAGAGTGATACACTGTTTCTCAACAACATGCTTAGAGAACTCTTGAAGTGAGTTAGGCGTCAACCCAGTGAACAAAAAGTTTTGATTTAATTGATTTTTAAAAGTTTATGTGGTGATGGTGTGACTTTTCAGAATGGACAAATATGCAAGTCAAAAGATCTTTTGAAGGGCCGGCTGAGTGGCTCAGTTGGTTGAGCTCGCTCGAGAGTGTGAGCTCTGAGCAACAATGGTTCGATGCCCAGCCTGAGCTGAGCTGCTGCTGAGCTGCCAACAGGTGGCAGGACGGCTCAGCTTAAAAAAAAAAAAAAAAAAGATCTTTTGAGTTTTCTTCTACCAGGAGTGGGGGAGGGGGAGCAGGGACACAACCTAAGAAACAACACGTGCTGTTATAGGCATTGCTGTCTCGTTTCTTGGAAAAGATGGATAAGGGTGAGCAGGTTTGCTTGGCACCATCCTCTGTTCATGAGGATGTGGAACATGCAAGGGAAAGATGGGGCCTCCTCTATCAGGAAGCCCAAGCCGGGCTGCATCACTCCATCTTACTTTGTGCTGCATTCTTGCATCCTGCCACTTTTCCCTTGCAAAATTAATGGAAAAAGCTATTGAACTTGAAGTGGTGGTTTTATGATTTTCTGCTGCTGAGAATAATATATGTCTTGCTACAGACATGATGATGGTTACTCTTAGGTGCCATGGATGGATGTCAGGGTGGTCAGCTCTGGACTAAACCACCCACCTTCAATTTGTACAACAGTATTGATACATAGGGCTACACACTCGTTACTGTTCTAGTGTTCTATGTTAAAAGTTCTTTCATTTCTAAAAATTAAAAAAAGCAAAAAAATTGGTGCTAACCTTTCACCCCTGAGCACGCTCAGTGAGACTGGTCATGCAAGCATTTACAGTGCCATGCTCTTCAAGCCTATTTTTTCTTGTAGACGCATTGCCCTATTTGTCTTCCCCAATGTATAGTATGGTTTTTATTTTATTGAGGGTGGGGTAGGATACCTGCCATTTAAGAAAATGAACAGAAAATTTAAAACCCACAAAATGGGGAAAACTAATCAGTGCACAAGAATCGGGCTGGTTAAGCCCCGTACCACACTGAAGTGGCTTTGGTTTTGGAGTGAAGAAGCCTTACTCCCTGCACATTCCCTCATGCTCCCGTTCAAGTCCAGCAGTGGTGATGCTCATGGTCCTCTTGCTTGTCAAGAGGACTCAGGGTCAACCAAGGAAAAGTATTTGGCCCTGGAAGGAATGGCACTATCAGTGTCCATCCAAAATGGGGCCTAGTCAGGAAACAGTCTGGAAGTGTACAGTCATGGTCACCTCATGAAGATGTGTGGCAGGTGGCTCTCAGGAAAAATGCCAAGTCTGGATCATCCGTGTGGCAGCTTTGCTTAGGAGATGATGGCTTCGAACTGTAACTGAACTGCCTTCCACCACTTAACCAATGCAGTGATGAGGGTGACCAGTACTGTGTGAGTGGTAGGTTTAAAGAGAAGGGAGTGTTTTCTGCTGGTGTTTCATTTGTCCTTGGGCTGTTAGAGCCAAACAGTAGGTGACCACTGTCTTCAAGGAGCCAGCACAACTTGGCTGGTTTGGTTCAGAGTTCGTTTCATCCCTAGCTGTGAGTGCCTTTTGGTCTGGAAAGTTGGCTTGTCTCATAATACCCACAGCTAGGACATTCTCTGTAATTATGAATTGTCCTTGTTTTTACATTAACTAAAAGAGAATGTCTTTGATCACTAGAGTTTGTCGGTGTTGGATTGTTTCCACTGTGAGGTTCTTAACCTTTTTCGCTTCATAATATTAAAGCAACTCATGTAAGAGACCCTTTCAACATGAAAGGTTTGTAGTTGAGACAACATATGTTTGTTTATAATAAAAATCATCTATACAGAAGTCCCAGGTGTTAATTTTAATATTTGCACAAGATCTGTTTTCCATGAATGTTAACACCTACAATTTCACTAACCGTTGATGTTATTTTCTATTGAGATTCTGGAGCCTAGGGAGCTTGTGTTTTTTTTTAATTTTCGTTCTTATTTCCCTGAAGCAAGAGACTGTATGGCCTTCAGTGCAGACTTCAGACCAATTCTTCGTATTACACTTGGTTGCCTCTTGGCTATATAACTTCTGAGTGCAAATCATTGAACTCTTTAACGAAGTATTGTAGAGAATAAATCATAATGGGTAAAAATTGTACTTTGTCCTGCCTCTCTTTTATTTTATTTATTTATTTATTTTTTAGTAGTAACAGCCATCTTACTTTTGAAGACAGCCAATCAGGCAGTATTCAGTCAGTCTGCTTTATTTTGTGTGGTGTTCATGACTTCTAGGAACCTGGCACTTGTATATTTCTGGTTGGTGCAATGCCACTGGGTTTTTTAGAGCCAGGTTTCCTTAACCAGGGTTCATGAACCCTTTAAAATTTGGGCCTTTCTAAAAAGGTTCATAGTTCTCAGCTTTTCCAGTGAAATTGGCCTTGCCCAAAAAAGCTAAAAACAGAAGAGGGGGAAAGAAATGCTCATATTTAAGGTATTTGGTGATACTAATCGAAGCAAAGACCCTGGGACATTGGTGTGTTCTGATCTAAAAAAAAAAAAAAATGTTTATTGCTTTTGAATAGTCCAGAAAGGATGAGATGTATTTGGAGAAAATGACAGGGAGTAGTTTTTCAGACATTCATATTCTGGGATTGTCAGTCTTCAGTTTAAAATTTTATTTACAAGGATGTAATTTTTTTTTTCTTAAGATACCCAGTTCTGAGGCCCTTACACCTGGCAGAACTCATTAGCATATGGCGACAGGTATACATGCTGTCAGGATTAGATGATAATTTTGGAAATAAATTACAATCAACTGGTTAAACAGACTGGTAATAACAGGTGTGTGAGAGGAATTGTTTCAAGAGAAATTACGGTTCTAGAGATGAACATTCTGTGTTATTACCCGTAATACCATCTGTGTTAAACAGCATGGAATACATACTGTATTTGGGAATGTTTTGGGTGGTGGTGGTGGCAGTACACTGTAACATAATTCGCCATGTTAAACCTCCCCCACACACACACACATACACACTACCTGAAATGTGAACTAAGTCATAGAGGTCAGTGGTGCTGATTTTTGTGGGAGTGCGGGTAGGGGAGGTGCTGTAAAGCCTCTTCCAGGTCAACCTAGGGTGTGTTACCGTGGCTTGAATATCTGGCTTTGACATACTATTGGGTTGTCCGAAAAGTCATGATGTATTTCTTCTGTCTTTCATTGCAAAAATGCGTCATGACTTTTCCGACAACCCAATATTCACTGAGCTGGTTGAAGGACTTGCCTCTAAACCAATACTGTACAAAGAAGCCATAGTAACATCTTGAAGGTGATGCAAGCTCTGTGCCTTTGAGGCTTTCCTTATGCTAAAAAACTAAGGATTCTAAGGTCTCTTCCTACTGATTACTTGCTCTGTATAGGTTCTGTATGCTACAGCAAACTGAAAAACAACCCCTTCAATTCCAAAACAACTATTGATGGGGGAACCAAATGGAGAGAGTCTTAAGTTCACCCAGTCAGTCACTCAAGTTCCTGCTGCCACTCACACCCCAACCCCCATATGGCCATTCTGGTCCCCAACCGAATAAGCAACTCAGTGCTGACATTGGAACCTTCACAGGCTGGCAATCTGACAGGCTTGAGCTTGAATCCTGGTTCTGCCATTTATGAACCAGACAAGCAGTTATTAGCCAAATTCCTGCTTTGTGACAGGACTGAATCTCCAAGGTAGCCTGTTGAGAATGCTTTGCCAAGGCTCCAGCACATGCTTCAGTGGCAGGATGGCTGTGACGTTCTGGAGTAGCATCCAGTGCTGGTGGAAGATGGGAAAACTGGGCCAGTGTGAACCCTTCAGAACCCTAAGCTACTCTGGACACAAAAGGGAGGCAGCATAATTGGTGTGCTCAGCACCCCACCCCCCACCCCCGCGGAGTCAAGACAGGCTTCCTGAGAGGTGGGTGCTAAAGTAAGCCCAGCTTGACCTCAAGAAAAGAGCTGCTCAGAGTCAAACCACAGTACCAGCACAGCCAAATGGGGTGGATGAGCCCTCTCAGGGCTCACTGGCCTGTTGCATTGCCACAGGCAGGCAGGACTTAGAATCCCAAGTCCGAACTTCCAAGACAACCTCAGGAAGTTGTACCTGGAAGTGAAGGGCTGTTTGCAGAGTCACACCACCCTCCCCTCCACCCCCCATATACCTCATTCCTTTTTTTTT